TTCAGTGAGCAAACGGAGTTTATGTGTTTGTGTGTGAGGTAGAAGATCATTCAGATCTCTTTCCTTCAACGTTTCAATTTTGCAGTTCAGTCACGCACTCCCATCACACAAACACACAAACACACAAACACACACACACACACACACACACACACACATACACACACACACACACACACACACACACACACACACACACACACACACACACACACACACACACACACACACACACACACACAGATAGGAATCCACATGTTGCATCAGCATTGCACAGCGCCAGAGTCAGTTACAACACAACTCTGTACACCAATTATAATCCACCTCAGGACTAATGGTTATGGGAATTGCAGTTGACATATAATACAAGTGTATGGATGACAAGGGATGGGTTTGATGCTCCCGAACACGAGCAGGGCATACTAACACTGCAGATGGAGAAGTATCACTTATTAATGCATGCTTTCTGCTGCACTTTTGCCACAATGTCACCTTCAGCCTGTAGAAACATACAACTAAAGAAATGCTCTGGCTAAGAAATATCAGTGCTTCAATCACATTACTCATGTCTGTCTTAGTATAGCTCATACATGGTTAAATTATATTTTAAAGGACATGGATGCCAATATTATCATTGATATTTGAGAAACAGTAAACTATATTATTATTGTAATTGCTATGTTCTCAGCCAATCGTGATAGCTTTCTGACTTTAGCAAGATTGTATTACTGCCATGACATTATCCAGTTAAGCCCGAAGGTCCCCCCAGTGGACCCCTCCCACAGTTTTTTTTTTCTCACATGTCTCAGGGCTTCTTAACATTTATGAAACTATTAATGTTTCATACCCTTTTAAAGGTAAGAAACTCCGCTAACTGACAATAAGAACAATTGTTAGCTAAAAAAAACACAAGAGTAATACCAAGCCTTTGAATTAGCATTGGGCGAAAAAATGCTAACTAATGCTAACGCTTTTGTATACACAACACACGGTATACATGCCCTTATTACTATCTTAACTGCACAAACAAGATATACGATTTAAAGCTGAGACTCCACAGATTCCACACATGTAATGTCATCACTGTCCGACCTCGAATTCCTGGAGCTATCAGCCAGAAAAGAGAAAGTAAACAACATCCGGTTCCAAAAATATTACAATAATTACGTCTTACCTTTTTTGATTTGTGATCAATAGTTGTGTTCAACGGAATAAAAACGCATCTCAAGGTTAATCCAATGTCTTTGTGTCACGTATACTTTTTTACTGATAATCAATCATCATATTTATGGCAATATACTCGGTATAAAGTATTGCCGTCCAGGCTTGCACTTTCAGATATGCTTCGTTTGCTTCTCTATTACGCCCGCTATGGTAATGTTTACGTAGATTTGGGAACTGCCCATCGATTCTATTGGTTCTGATGGTTAAGAAAAAGGTGTAAATCACACGAATCGACCAATGGGTTCCAGAGATATGGTCCTGCGTAAAGTATAAAGAATGCCAGTCAGCTTAAGTACATTACGCAGCCGACTTCATTTATTGTTTACAACGTAACGAAGCAGGAAATGCAGCAGGACCCAGAGCGCACGGAGCACAGAGCGGACAGCAGATAACGGAATTGCAGTTTTATTGCTTATAGATTATCAGAACATTTCAAAGGGGACACAGCCCCATTGGATATTAATATATGGATTAACTACATCATCGTTTTTATCGTTGTAATGCCATTGAAGACCAGTTTAGACCAGACAACGAGGAAGGTAAGTCATTGTTAGCCTAGCGCATGTTAGTACCACTTGTTTTGATGTACGTTTTTGTTGATAACGTCGCGAGTTTGTATCTTTCAGTGTTGCGGTGGGCACCGTTAGATTCTGTGTCTCTTTGCGATCATAAACAATGTGTTGGATGTGCAGCTAGGATAAGTAATAAGGGAGCGAGGAGTGATTTTCGGTGCAGAGTAGGCCTATGTTTTATTTTTTATTTTTTTCACAACAGTTGTATTTGGATGGAATGAATACCTATAGTGATAATTCAAAGTAATAAAATGATTTTTACAGTGAAAAAGTTCAAATGGAACCGATGGTTCCCAAATTACCCAGAGGTGAGTCCGCTTAGACTTTATTTTTCTAAATCTCTCTAAAAAGGTCAAATTTCACTTGTTTTGCATCAATCTTGATACAGGGTACTTACTATATGTTATAGTTTGGATTCCTAAAGCTTTTAGTCTACTAACCCATCATGCAAGGGTGGTTTTCACTATAAGTAAAGTTTTTTTTTAAAATAAAACAAATCTATATTGATTCTGACACTTCTACATCCAACTCACAGATGTAACCTTGCTTTGAGAAAAAATAATTATTAATTTACCCCTTTTAGAAGTGAAGATATATCATTTGTTGTGTTAGTGTTATTTTCTAGCCTGAAACCTGATAAACAGGCAGGGCTTAACTGGTTATGGAAAAATACAGAATTGAGTGAATGTTCAATCAGAACATCTGCAATTGTTTTTGTTCAGGATACTATTCTGAAGTCATATCAACATGGTACAGAATATAAGTATGTTTTAAGGCATTGCTGTACAAACTGACGGCGGATTTTTGGCTTTTATACAATTATTTAATGGAGATGAGACAATGTGACTGAAGCAGAGCAGATGAACAAAGTGGGACTAGCACCGCACAGAAGAAGACTGGTATAAAAGCCGGGCTGCGTTTGTTTCACATTCAAATCAATCTGTTCTGGTCAAAAATGTTAAGGGTTGTATTGAGTCAAAATATAATGTATTTTACACAACTATCTTTCGTATTTGTACTGTTTATCGCCCATGTAACACTTTTGGAGAGCTTACAGGCTGCTGAGGGGGAACAAGCTCCAACAAATTCCACTTTCTAATTAACTGATAATACTGATTGAACTGAAAGTGTCTCAATCTCAGAGTGTCAAAGTAGAACCAATTCATGTAACCTGTAATGGGTTTAGTCTATATCGAGTGTGTTAAAGAGTGAGTTACAGTAGCTACTCTCAATGGCTTAGGTCTAAAGTGCTGAGTGAGAATGGACAAGGTGAAAAAGACAAGTGGTGTATGTTACTTACAGAGTAAGTTCTATCCAGGACTATTACCAAATAGTGAGTGTAGAAAACTAAACACAATTAATGCAATCATATCATGTCTTAATTTGTGAAATCATTGTTATAAAAAGTATCTGTACGGTTCTTAGCATTTCAATGAAATGCCATTGTATTGCGGCCAGAGATTGTTTTGCTTGCATCTGCATTGAGGTAAGCGACCGTGGTTCATATAAATACAATATAGGGTTTCACTATTGTCTGGAGTTGTGCATAATTCTTTGTGCTGGGTCTTCAACCTCAATTTCCCTCAGGACAATACGTGTTATTGTATTCATGTGAAGTCATCTCATATTATTGACAAAGAACTGTGACAGCAGTTTACGAGTATTCTTGCTGTTGACAGATTCCCTGTTGTGTTCATAGTGTTTAAGTCAACATTATGATTGTTGTATTGAATGACATTCATATTCTGCTGACACATACTGCATTTGCATTGCACAATACAATCCAGTTGTTTGCTTCTCTGTTTTAATAACATGTGGAGGCTAAGATTGTCCACTCGTTTTATTTTCATAAGGTCTTGTGATCTTAAATATTTTTCAGGAATTGGTGAATTCCAATGTTGGTGTCACATCTGTCAAAGGTTTGATATCTTATTTTAGAATGTACCCATGTATGTATTAAAATGCCTTACAGTACAGTATGGCGATGAAGGTCAAATGTTTAAATATCACCCTGATGAATATTGAGAGGAATAAACATGAAGCGTATTTTCTTTAAGATGTCAGGCCAACCCTTTCTAAAACACATAACGAAAGAAAACAGTTGATTTTGGTTCAGTGTATTTTTCGTTGTATGAATGAGTTCAGTTAAGGGCAAAACCCCGCATTTGGGGTCAATCCACTATATAAACAATACACATTGAATATGTGCCCTCACAAAGGAGTGAAAATCACACATAAACAGTTCAGATAAGTGTTTAAGGGGGGAATTATCCATATTACTTAACTTTTGGTGCCACTCGAGATTTGGCTTCCACCAAACCTCCAATGGATGAAACAAGTCATTTGAAATGTCCATCAAGGAATATAATGTGAAGGTGCAGTGTGTCAACAAGGACACATTTGTGTTTAAATCAACCCCCTGAAAGTGGGTATTAGAGTAACATTGTTGGCCTTTCAAAATGTCACATTGTTACGTGTACGCATGTGTATCTCAAACTATTTTAAATTCATTCTAATGACAAACACCATATTAGTGAGGAAAAACTAAGACAGAGAAGTGAAAGCAAATCACTCATAGGCATGTTGGGTGTCTATGTGTGAAGGGGTGTAACTATTAATGCTATTTACAGGGAATCACCATCAGCCATTGTTTTCACATCCGCCATATGTTTCTGTTTTTACAAATCACTCATGGATTATCAAACATGCAAGAATGAAACCATGCTTACAGTAAATGGCTTGTGTATAGTCATTTAAGTCTCTCCCAGAGATAACAAGGATCCAAAGACAATTTAAGATCATAGTCTCATGTTTTCTTGTTGATTGATTTGCAGTACTTCCCTTTTATAAGAAGTATACAATTCTTAATGTCGTCATATTCAGGCTAATAACTAAGCATGACACAGCATGGTTTCACACTGTGTGTTTGTGCTTGTGTGTATGCAAGGCAGAGAGAGAAGAGGTTCAAACACAGCCAGCAACACTTGAAGCGAAGCAGACATGCAAACAAATGCAGTAAGATGGTGATGAGAAGGAGAAACAAAAAAAAAGAGGCAAAAACTGATAAAATTCAAGAATCAAAGGGAGGGGGGAAAGGAGGGGGACAACCAATATGAAACAGGGTTTTGTTTGTGTTCATGGTTGTACTGTGATGAAGAATATAACATAGGGAAGAACATATTCTGCCTATGAAGCAATAATCACCTTCGCTTGGGATGACTAGAATGTACGGCGTTGTTATTTGTCCCCTACCTATTACCACTAAGGCCAAGGGCCGCACGTCCCCGCCAGACAGCATGAGAGAGAGAGAGGGAGGGAGAGAAAACAAACAACAGAAAAAGAAAAGAAAGAAGAAAAAGTCTAAGAAAAAAGGACGTATAGCTTTTCTTTATGCATTTCATCAAGGTTTAGCTCTTTTCAATTGCACAATCTGTCTTAGAGGAGAAAGAAATTGCAGTGGTGAGAGACAGCACTAGAACATTAGAATCAATTACAACTAGCACTCAAGATGTGAAGTGGGATATGATTGTTGCCAGGACATAAACGTCACTAGCTTCTTGACTGGCCCATTACCTAATAAATGTGTTGGTGGTGAAAATGTTTTTCCAAGGAGTGAGTCAGTGAAGGCAGATGTGGTGTAGGGGGGTTAACATTTGAGTGTGTTGAGTGTGTCAGCCTGGCTTGACGGGTTAATCAAAAATAAAGGTAGGAGGGAATAAATGAGGTGATGGTTGAAAGAATACAAATGTGAACTTTGTGGCTTGGCAAAGTGGGAGTAAAGACACAATCTGGCCTTCTGGGTTCAGCTGCAAACGTTCAGATGACCCAGGGACAAAATCTGATCAGTGGAAATCAGATCAAAAAAGGTTAAAGTAGCTTTAGCAAATATCATATATTGAGGCAATGATGTGGCTTCATTTAGTTGTACATGGCTTGAATGGTGACAGGGTTGTAGTCAACCATTAGCCATTAAAGAAAAGGTCAATATAACATCTTTATATTCTACTATTATTTCTCAGATGCAGAGTCTAGAAGTAATCTCAATGATTTAATTCAATTGGTTAAGCTAGGTAGACAGTAAGGAATTGCAAATAATCAGTAATACATGATCAAGTCTACTGCTAGATCAAACTATGGCGTTGCAACAGTTTAGTTCCTAGAGTCATGTTCTTAATCAGGAAATCTCTGTGTGTGTGAACACATTTTTATAATGAGCAATTAAGGAAACATTTGAACTTTTGATACATGTATGGTTGGGCCTGTTTTATTGTGCGTTTTGATTTGGCAAAGCAGCGTCAAATAGAAGTTTGTTGCTTTGGTTACCCACAATTTAATGAGTATGTACTGATTTAAAACAGTGGTTGAAATGTTGTCGGATCAATTGACACCACCCATTTGAATGTCCAGTACATCTAATGCTTTTTATGTTTTTGTAAAGCCCTTTGAATTGGCTTGTGTTGAAATGTGCTGTAAAAGTAGACTACCCTTGCCTTACTGTAGCCTTGGTACTGGTATACACAGATGGTAGCACATTATTATCATCTTAGCAGCCCAAAGACTCACATAGCGTAATATAAGCTAACATGGCTTAGGCTACTTGAAAATGAAAGTTCAATCTAAATCAAATATGAAAGTTTTTTTTAAGTAACAGGGCAGGACATGATATCAAATGTTATCTCCCTATTATTTTTACTGTTAACCTAAAAGGTTTCTAACCTGGCCAAAAGCATGTGCTTCTTACTGTTAATTAAACTGATATTCTCTGCCTCTGAAAGATGCGCATTTGGCAAAACCTTAATTATTCCCAAATTACTGATTTTGATTTTGTAACCAAACAGTGCTCAAGCTAATTTTGCTGCTGCATTTGAAAAGTGGTAATTATCAGCTGCTGTAGTGAGTAAGTAGCAGATTTCAGCAATACATTGGGTATACTAGTCATTTGCTAAATAAGCCATCTGTATTGCCTCAAAGCGCCTCCCACATATCAAAAACTTACAAAAACTAGATTTCTAGTAGATTTAGAGCTTAAGAAGTTAGCATTTTGTCATATGAAAGACAGCCACAAAGTTAAAAGCATGTCTTTTTCCAAGCACACACACATGCAGACGGACACAAAGCAGGGTCTACACACTGTAGACGTCCACCAACAATACTTTCCACTCAGAAAAACACAGCCTGGTGATTGGATAGAGCAAGACATAAAGAAGTGATGTATGATGAGCAATAAAATGCTTGATGCAGACGAGAAATAATAAGTGAGCGAGAGACACAGAACAGAGAAAGAAGATGAGGAAAAATCAAATCAATGTTTGATGCAGATGAAAAAATAAAATAGAAAAAAGAGACGAGGTGAGGAAAATCAATAGCGAGCTGAAAAGCTTTCGAAGCACATTGCCTGGCACACAAATTGATGTATTTGCCGGAGATGAGCAGCAAATACAGATGGGAGACATGGGGAAAGCAAAACAGAATAGGATGAAATGGGTTCTGGGGCTAACGCTTGAGCCTCCATCCATCGGGTTTAATGAAGGCGGTCAATCGGTATGTAATGGCCCTGATGTTCCACTTTATACACTGATGAGCAACACGGATGCAGGATGAGATCAAAAAAGAGAGAGCAGGATTGATGAAAAAGTGGGATAATGTGCAACAGAGGAGGGCAATGAAGGAGACAGATTAGGAGAAAAGAGATGGAGGGAGAGAATGCAATGCAACGGTATCATGCAGGATCACATGGTAAGAATGTGGAGTAGTCTGGCCTAGAGTCTGTGGGTTTACCTGTGGGTATGTGTGTGTGTTTATCTCATCTAATACAACATTCTGACACTAATCCGGGGGTTAATTCGCTATTAGGTTTAATTAGACATATAAGTAATATGATTTTGTCTGTACAATAAGAGCAAGCTGAGTATCAATGGAAGGGTGCTCATACCTTTGTTAGCCAGGTGGACACAGTTGATTTTGGTTTCCTGGAGAGAGAAAAGAAAGACAGACACAGTCTTTAAGCAAATTGTTAATACACTGTATTAACAGGTTAACAAATGCCTTGAATCCATGTACCGTATTTTCCGGACTATAAGTCGCGTTTTCTTTACCTGTCTGGCTGGTCCTGCGACTTATACTCCAAAAGCGACTTATATGTTGAATTTTGTCTGACTGCGCTCAAACTACGGCCAATCGTGACAACTGAAAACTGCTGTACCACCGAAGAAGAAACAAAAAGTAACGGCGACCGGGAGGCTCATGGATGTATAATAAGAACGGGGAGGATGCGTCACGTAACTTTCCAGGATGTTGTGGGATGGATGGACACAGCATGGGCTTCAGTGACGACCGACACCATCCTGTCGGGATTCAGAAAGGTCTAATCGGAGCTGATTCTGATGGAGAGTCTGAGGACAGCCCGGAGCAGGACATGCTGCTTCATCCACACCGGAGCGGGCGGAAGTGTTTAACAGCGGCACAGAGGATGAAGACTTCAGTTGGATAAATGCGACTTATACACTGAAGCGACTTATACACGTCTTTTTTCTCTTAACGACAATTTTTTTGACTTATAGTCCGGAAAATACGGTAATCGTTTCAAATCATATGGGACGGTTAAGATAATGGTCAGAAATAACTTAAAGAATATACAATCTGTGGTTAATGGGGCAAAACATGCTAAACCAATATGGACTAAAGGCTTAGATAATCCACACGCTAGTCTTTAAAGATGATCAATGAGGCCATGGGGCCGTGTTATTAGTTTCTTATGTTTTCCTTTGATGCAATACAATGACCAGCTTGATTAGTCTCAAAACACATGTGTACAAAACATTCTTAATATTAAGATCAATAACCTATTGTGTTATTAGATCATTTATCCTGTATACATAGACGCTTATATAGAAAGTATGGACACACAATTAACACCGTTGTTTAAGTATACATGTACATAGTGTGTACACGTACACGTAAAGTGAATGTAAAATGAACATGCTTTTTGACCTGCAAATCACTAAATCAGGCCAGGTCATAACATATTTCTCTATGATCGTCTAGTTCTTTCTGTGTTTCCATTGCCCTCCATTTTTGTGTTGATGCCACTTTCAGGTTCCAGTGGTTCCACCATTTCTGTCATTCTCTTTCTGATGGCCTGCCACCTCCTGAAGAGGCGTGTGCTTTTCTTTATTCCAGCTCTTTTCACTCATTCACTGCTCCTGTCTTTTCCTCTTTTCTTCCTCCATGACGGGCTGTCACCAGTAAGTGTACGTATCTAACGGGCTTGTCAGTCGCAGATTGGCCTCCGTCACATGTTGGGCCATTTGTCTTCATCAAAGATGATTACTGCAGCAGCTGCCGACACTGACGCCTGTCACTTTGGCTTTTGAACAAAATCCCTTCCAAGGGACTGCTAATGTACATTTATTTTCTGCTTATGCCATTTAAGATCATATTACATTCATCTTTATTTTTTGACGACATGGAAACAAAATTACCTGTTTAAAGAGTTGAAATATTCTACAAGGCCTATTTTAAGTTGTATTTTGATATCAGAGATGACAGTAGAATATGAATATTCTCTAAGGAATTGAGTTAAAAAGCAACAGTGTAACGCTTATGATGCTTCTGCACAATACCTTCACTCATACCTGTTTATGTGTACATTCAGTGATCAGTGTTTCACCTCATATTGGTGTTATATGAGGTACTGTATTTAACATGTGTACTCTAATTGTTGTTCTTATTATACTTGTGTGGATTCTTATCTGTTCTGTCCTGTGTTTCACTCTTATCCTTTTGCCGCTTTCAAACCTGAATTTCCCAACGGGGATCGATAAAGGTCTATCATATCTTATCTTATTGCGACTGCCCTCCCAGTTTAGCAGGGCCTGTTGTTGCGTGTCTGTTGTGTTTGTGTGTTCCCCTCAGGGCCTGTTAGGTGTGGCCTTATCATCGAGCAACTCGGACCACATGGCAGTCTCTTATGGCGCGTTTCCACTGCAGCGGGTAGCTCGCTTTAAGCGTGCCGAGCCGTGCGGGGCCCGTTTTTAGTTGCGTTTCCACTTGGCCTAGTTTTGGCCCGGGGCTACTTTTTCACCTTTTTTCTGGCCCGACTAAATCGTGGTTCTAGGGCCAGGAACAACCAGGCTGAGTCGGGCTGAGTATGCTAAACTAGAGAGAGAATCGCTGGCAAGGGGGCTACAACTACAACAAGATGAACATATTTGACCGTGATTTAATTGTAATACACGTTTCAAAATGATGCCGAAGTAACAACATACTGATACCGGTTAGTAAAAACCATGAATTAATGCTTTGACAAGTCTGCAGACAGACGGCAGGCGAAAAACCCTTTTTAAAATGCGTGTTTTCTAAATGGAGCTTGGCTAAGCTAACGTTATATATGCTCCGACCGTCCACACTCACAACAACGGCCTATACAGACATTAATAAACCAGCGACTGTATTCGCCATGACACAGACAGTCTGTGGTTTGTACTTTTGTCTAGTTTCTGAACAGATATGAAGAGCTGTGAGCTCTGAGTGCTAAGAGCTAACGGCTGTGTTGTTTTTCTGGGGCTCTCATTGAAGATGACGTCACGGCTCCGCCTACACTGCGTTACTATAGTAACTGCCCCAGTTCCTAAACTGTAATGGAAGCGCAGCATTAAAGTGAGCCGGGCCTAATAAGGCCTAACCAAACCGAGCGAGGCCGAGCGAGGCCTGTATTGGAAACGGGCCATTAGTGGCCTTTAGAGCCGACGGCCAGCCCAGTCTCTCATGGTCTCTCTTCCCTGTGGGAGCGGTGTCTTAGTTGTTTGTTGTTTCAAATAACTAATGTTCTGTTCTATTTAGTGCTGTAGCGACGCGTCGGACTTCAAAATATCGTCGACGACATATTTCCGCGTCGACGCGTCGCTACACACACGTGGGTCACCCAAAGCAACAAGCAGTTCGCAATCGCACTTCAAACACAATGGAGACTGAAACGGCTACCACCTCCTCCTCACAGGATTGCGCACGAAGCCCCCAAACGAAAACATCTCGCCCTAGGTCTTCAAAAGCATGGGAATATTTTAAAGTTAGTCCAAAACGCAAAGATATTTATATATGTATATCTCACTGAGACTGCTGCATAGCCTAGCAGAAGCAGCAGCTAGCTGTGGTGGCTACCATTAGCAGCTAGCATTTGCTCTCCGATTTTTTACATAAAATGGAATTATGGATTATAAATTCAATCATTTTTTTATACATAGACGTTAAGAACCTATGGATTAACCGATTCAGCCGCGTTTTTTCTCATTTGAATGCCATTGAACACGTCTTTTGATCAGATTACGGTGGTGAGACGATCTCCCTAGAAGCTCTGTGAAGGTACGTGTTGTGATGACTGTATTTGCTTCCCCTGTCGCGAGTCCGGATCACTCAGTGATGATACTATATACCTACATAATCTGTGGAGTCTCAGCTTTAATCGGATATATTGTATGTGCAGCTACGATAAGTAATAAGGGTACTTTTATCTTGAGTTCTGTGCCAATGTCCGTTAGCATTTTTCGCTCAGGGGTCATTTAGATGCTTCTTATGAGACTTGTGTTTTGTTTTGGTAAACATGGTTTGTATCGTCAATTAGCTGAGATTATTTCCGTTAATCTGGTATAACACATTAATAGGTTCTTAAATATTAAGATCCCCTGAGACACAGTATCGTGAAACATTTTTTTTTTACATTACGTTTTTTTTACATTACGTTTTTTATGAATTGAACAACAGAACAATAATCGTTAGATTAGTCGACTAATCGATCAAATAATCGCCCGATTAATCGGTTTTCAAAATAATCGTTTCCCCCCAGCACTAGTTCTATTACATTTGCACTCTTTGGTTTGACTCTGGCTATATCCTGTTCTTTGTTGTGGTTCTCAGCCTGGTCATGACAAATTGGTGGCTAGTCCGGCATGTGAAAGACACACACACACACACACACACACACACACACACACACACACACACACACACACACACACACACACACACACACACACACACACACACGAGAGGATAGCCATAAAATCAACTTACAATGCTCAAAACTGATGATGTTAATTGATGAACAATGTCACTGTAATGTGACATCAACCTGCAGTGTCAAATCGTCAGAAGATATTTTCGAGACACATAGAAAACTGGAGGCAAAGTGAGTAAAGTTTATTGTTCAGTGTTTCAAAAATACTGTGGCTAAATGAGTTTCTTTCACTTTGTCATAAAATAGTATAAGTTTTCATTTTGTTTCTACAGATGCACCTTTCGTTGTGCTTGCCTGGGTATGTGTGTGTGTGAATGGAGCTGGCTTTAAAGTGACGTTAAAGAGCAGGGAAGATGAATGTTAGTGGATGATGGATGGTGTGAGCCTCTAGGCTGGATCTCTCCACAAGACTAAACACACCTGCTTCCACTCCATCTCTGTCTGTCTGTATGAAGGGCTAACTAAATACCTGTCCGTCTGCTTTATCGTTTTCTTTATCTTATTCTCTCTCTGTCTTTAATCATAAATGCATCATTTGATTGTAGGAACCTACAGTTGAATGTCTACCGAATGACTGAAGTCTTTGTTGAGACCCATTGCTTCCACACATTTTGCTGATTCACCAATTAAAAAAGGTCATATGTAAGGATTTTGCATGAACGATTACAATATTGCACCTTGAAAAAGAGACATACAGTACCATGTTTTGTAAACTACATCAATAGTAGGCTAATAGGCGTGCATATACCTGATGTTCATATTCAGTAATTGACCATATCTAACAGTTTGCTTCTGTGAACACAAACCGACGTACATATGTAATGAAAGAATAACTGGGATAACAAATCCCTTAAGGTCTCAGGAGTAATAGGCCTGTCAGAGATTGCCATTGTAAGTGTAGTGTATATCTTACAAATAGCCACCATGGGTATACGATCAGTTCCCAGAGCACCAGTG